GTCATTACTCTAAAGTGATTTTACCCTTTTTTTTGGGTTAATTAATTTAAAACATATCACGAATAGATGTTTTCTGTTATTTAACGTATTCAGCTGTTGAACAATTAAAATATTGTAAAATATTGTTTAACACAAACGTAAATACAATTGTTGTTTAATAAATCGTGCACATGGTTTTGTTTGGAATTTTGCGCAAAGCTACACGATGGCTGTCTGCGCTAGCCGTCCCTATTTTAGCAGTATTAGACTAGAGAAAAGGCGGCTAATGAACACCACCCACTGCTTACTCTTGGGCTAATCATTTACTAACGTCACATTGTAATGCCCCCACGGCTGAAAGGGCGAGCATGTTCGGTGTGATGAGGATTCTAATCCGCAGATTGCGAGTCGAGTGCCCTAACCACCAGGCCATGTCAAGCTCCTTGCACAAGGTAATAAGTACGTTGATAAAATATAAGAATATTAGAAATAACTTAAATAAAATGCGTAAATTTCCATAAAAACAACACATATCTATTTATCTTTAAAAATACAATTTCCAGTAAAAACTAGAGAGAAACTATTTTTAGTAATTATTAGAAATACTATTCAATATATTATAGAAACGGTTAATAATGCAGAGGAATAAATTAACCGAACAAGACTCACTGGTATGATATGTTATAGTTATATCTTAACTTATTGTGGTTAAACTGATGTGTTAACATTAATACACAGTTATGAGATCTCTGTACGTTGTGTTGTTGAATAATGTACCTTCCATAAATCCATTTTAATTTTTCAATATTTGACAATGAGTGAATTTAGTTTTCAATGTTTTATATTAAAACATTAAATATATTGGAATGGGATTTTGTTAGTTTTATAGCATATTTCAAAATATACAGAAAAAACAGCAACAAACAACCAAAGCCTAACTTTGCTATTTTACTATTGATGGTAGCTGGGTATTACCGTATTATTCTATCAGTTTATGTTTGTTTGAAGTTAAGCACAAAACTACACAACGGACTATCTGTGCTCTGCCCACAAGGGTATCGAAATCCGGTTTCTAGGATAATAAGTTCCGCTATTCTATCAGATACAAGATAAAGTTGAAGTAGGATCAAGTAGAACCATAAAATTCAAATGACCTGTTTATCTGTATTAATTCTGATTTTATTTACTGTATTGATATTTCACCCCCACAGTATAGGATCTTCGTTGTTTTAGGACAAGTATTAAGCATATGATATATTAATATATATTTTAATCTGTATGATATGCCTATCAGAGTGTACACTAGATAATATGATAACAAGGATACGCGAACGGTTTATTCAGGTGTGCAAGTTAGTGACAGTTCTAGGTAAGCGTCTGTAACAAGTTGAACTATGAATGTTCTATATGTTTGGAACATAGACGTTAGGAAGTTCCTTTATCAGAAGCATCGCCTTAGTGATCATAATGAAGATTAATTATCTTGATTCAAACTGCTGGTGTATATATATATATATATATACTACAGAATATAATAAACTTGTAAACCACGTTGCATATACTACTATAATATCATCAACAACAGTTTGTGTTTGAGAAGCATATATCTGCAATGGAGACAACTGATATCTATTCCGAATTTAATCTGCTGCCATCAAGTGACATTTCAAGACACGAGCTGAAATCAAGTACTATCAACTTATGGTTTTCTGTGATAACTCTTTATAAGTGATTTGTAAAAGGCTGCTTGCTCTTGCTACACTATATAAAAATAATAAAACTAATTTACTAGGACGTGAAAACGAATGTGACTATATCTTTATCACAATACAGTTGGTAAAATGAAACAGAGCTACTGAAAGGTTTGAAAATCATCATCTTAAGTAGCGGAACATAGGGCCTGTCGACGCTCAACTCTCAGCCTGTTAACACTACTCCAAAAAAAGATGTTTTCGTTTATGCGTTACTTTACTCAACTGGAATTTATAGCTTGGGAGTGTGAAAGTACTAAAGGCCCGTTCAACAGCTTCTACCCCTCCCATCTCTTGATATTCATAAAATAAAACAATTGAAAGTCAAAAACATCTACTGTGGGTCTAGTATACAGACGACAAAGAAAATATTACATTTGTGATTCATGGTCGAACTATATTTATTTGTACAAGTTCTGTAATTCTGTCCACATTTATAGATATTAAACAGTGTTAAATGGGCTACGAGAAATGGATTACATCTCGTAGTTCAGCTACACACGTAAAAGGCTTACTAAACAGATTGAAAAATAACGTTGTATCTGGTAGATGCTTGTCTTCCGTCATTTAAATAACGTTGTACCTGGTGGATGCTTGTCTTCTGTTATTTAAATAACGTTGTATCTGGTGGATGCTTGTCTTCCGTTGTTTAAATAACGTTGTATCTGGTGGATTCTTGTGTTTCGTTATTTAAATAACGTTGTATCTGGTGGATTCTTGTGTTTCGTTATTTAAATAATGTTGTATCTGGTGGTTGCTTGTCTTCCGTTATTTAAATAATGTTGTATCTGGTGGATGCCCGTCTTCCGTCATTTATTAAGGAATTGAGTGTTGAGTGAAGCAACTGACTTATAACAAATCGCAATAAAACCAAATTATAACTCTAAACATTTTTTTTTTTCATTATTAGCTGACGTTTCGGCTTCTAGACTTCATTGGGTATTATAACATATGAACGTAAGAGTTAGTAACGAAACGTCAGCTAGTAAAACTAAAATTTATTCTAGAGTTATGGTTATTTTTGTGCTGTTTTTTAACATTTAAAAAGCTCAGTATGGCTTTAAAGTATAAAACAATACAATCAGGGGTACGTATCATATGTTGAATGTAGTTGTGAAAGAATTAGGAAAGCAACATAATAACTTTGTTTAAATGCAGGTGAAATAGCTGTCTACCAAACTGACATTCTAGAAAGATACTATAGATGTCACTAGTTTGCAATTTTTAAAACAACATCAATAACTTCATCTACATGGTGGGTTAAATGTTTAAAGAAATCTGCCGTTATTGTAATTCGAAAGTGATTTTGATACAAAACCGGTATTCCGTGTTTCGTAAGTTAGCGATTTAGCTAAAGGTTTGTATAATCGTTATGATGTAAATAGCACCCACGTTATTCCCCATCACATTGCTCCAGAAATAGTTTTACTGAGTTGAACAGCTGGAGCGGTTGCTATTGGTGTTCCCAATAGGTTTGTATAATAAAGAATGCATTTTCAATACTCTTTATAGTCTGAATCCCTGACTAGGATATACTCTGAACAAGGTTACGCTGTATACTGTAGCTTTTCTCTTGTTTCAAAACTATTAGGAATATCATGAATTGGTTCGTCAGTTTATTGGACGGTCGCAAATCCGCAAGATTTTGTATTTGGGTGGGGGCTGATTCCCTTTATTTAAGTCAGCATCTGACTAATTTCAAATACATTCTGATTTGGTTTTTGTCATTAGTTAATATCCACACAATTTACATTTTGGTATTTTAGCAGCCTTGTGCTACACTATTTCCAATATATATATATATATAAATGTGTACGTTCATTTTGTAAAGCTAAAAATGTATTAAATAATTCAATTTGGCAATTTTATGTTGTACTTTAATTAATATATAAATCTTAAATGTATCTGTCTCATCAACGAAAATCATTGTTATCAGGTACTGTATTTTCTAATTAAAAAACAAACTACTTATATATGGTTCAACACGAAAAAAAACAACAACAAAAAACATGGACCATACTTCCACCGGAACAACTACTACATGGAATCTTGTCTCAAGATGTTTTGTATGATGTATCAAGATAACCTGAAAACTCGGTACCTTGAATGAAAATTCGACATTTCCTGCACCTTGACTAAGAGTAACAATTTTGATAAAGCGTGCTCATGTGATTCTGATGTTTATAGATTTTTTTTGTGTGCAAATCATTCAAGATTAAGCATAATGTTTGCTTTCATATACAACTATTTATGGTGTTTTCTTTCCGAACGTCTATTTGTAGGATGTTAAACTAATCATATAGGTGCGCCTTGATCCCGGACAGATGTTTTTAAATAAAATGATTTTTTGTTTCGGTTTATAGCTAAATGTCTTTCCTACTTAAATAAAAAAGTATTACAATGCGTTCATTGGAAATTTTCTTCTTTTTTTGTGGTAAACGATATAACACTCACATTTTTCTAGCTTGTTGAAACAAGAAAATTGTACGGACTAATAGCTGTATTAACTCAAACAATTGATGTTTAAGCAAAAATATCATCGTGAAAGATCAATTCAACTCACGTATATATATAGTTTATTTCCCTGGAATTTAAAATCGCCACAAAAGGTTCTTCTGTGTTATGTTTTTCATTTTCAGATTACACTTGAAAGCTTTTGTTTGTTTCTACTTCAACTAGAGCATCAACATTCTAGTTATTTTACTTACTTTAACGGTGCACTGTTGCGGATAATTCAGTAAGCTCTTGTAAATAAAGAATTTCCCGCAATTATATTTAAAATCTGATAAATCAGAACCTTACAAAAGTTGAAACTTTCGAAAATAAACTTATTCAGTTGATATAGCACGATATCTTGTTCTCTCTTACAGGGTTTTAAAAGGTATGATTTTCACAAAGATTGTATATATAAAGCCCAAACAATGTTTACGTATACCAGTTTTCGAAGTTCTAAAGTCTACTTTGAACCATCTATATGAATGATGTTGACCCATAAAACAAACACAATAAGATCACAACAGTGGACTGTTTTCGTACGTCTAGGATTATTGACAGGAACGAACTTTGAAATGAAACAAACACAGGTTTTCTCTAAATCAGACTACGTCTTTTTTTTCCGTTTTTTGAGTTATGGTACTGACCCACGAGGCACGATCGTAACGTTAAATTGGTACTGACCCACGAGTTACGATCGTAACGTTAAATAAGAATATTTTTCACAATCTTTTCTCACTCCTGGGACTCCTCTAGTCACTGAGTATTTTTTTTTTTCCTTGATGGAGTTGAAGACAGCGGATCACGTTTGTCCAATAATTTTTCATGTTAGCTTTGGGTAAACGCTTATCTTTTCTGGACTGGAAACTTCGGCTACTCTAGAAATATTTTAAATAAAAAAAACGTTATGCAATAAAGAAAAACTCAGAATAGCTTTAACTGCGTATAAAAAGCAAAACAAAAATACTACAGTTTAAGAATTCAAAAACACAGAGCAACATACTCACTCCCTTTTGGTTATTATTTGTCGTGAACGTTTAGGATAACAAAGAACGTTAGTTTATGGTATATACGAAGGAAAGATGGTGTGTTATAATTAAATTATGGAATAAGAGAGTCATTACTGACTGCGACTTTAAATTTCGTGTAGTACATTTACAAATTTTTAAATTTACGTCCTTACAAAGTAGAATGAATTATTTTAGAAC